CTCTTGTGCCACCGGGACCCGACCCTATGGGCTGATAACGTGGCCTGGGTGGAATATTCCCACAACTCTCTGCCTTCAGCCGCTACTGGTATGTCCCCTTTTGAGTGTGTGTATGGATACTCCCCCCCCTTATTTCCCAGTTTGGACCCAGAGGTCCGGGTGCCGTCTGCATCCACCTTGGTTCATCGCTGTCACCGAGCCTGGAGAAGAGCCCGCCTAGTCTTGCTCCGTTCAGTCCAGGCATACAAGAAATGGGCCAACTTACACCGGTCCCGAGCACCTGTCTACCAGCCCGGCCAGAAGGTCTGGTTGTCAGTTCATGACTTACCCCTTAGAACCGAATGTTGCAAGTTAGCTCCTAGGTTCATAGGGCCATTCCCCATCTCCAAGGTAATTAACCCTGCAGCGGTCCGCCTCCGTCTGCCCCCCTCTCTTCGAGTACACCCCAGGTTTCACGTATCCCCGGTCAAGCCTGTTCGGTCCAGTCCCTTGGCTCCTCCTCCGGTGCCTCCGCCTCCTGCTCGCTTCGTTGCTGGGGGTCAGGCCTACAAGGTCCGGCGTCTCTTGCGGTCCCGGAAACGTGGTCGGGGAATCCAATACCTGGTGGACTGGGAGGGGGACCGTTCTCCCCGTTCCCCTGAGACCCTGGACCCACCTCTCTGTGGACTTTGTAACCGGCCTTCCCACATCACGAGGTAATACTACCATCCTCACTATTGTGGACAGGTTTTCTAAGACGGTACACTTCTTACCACTACCTAAATTACCCTCAGCTAAGGACACAGCCCAATTCCTCATCCTACATGTGTTCCGGTTGCATGGTCTCCCCAGGGATGTGGTGTCAGACAGGGGACCCCAGTTTGTGGCCCGTTTCTGGACAGAGTTTTGTCGGCTCCTGGGCATCTCTGTTGGTCTCTCCTCAGGTTCCCATCCGCAGACCAACGGGCAGACTGAAAGGCTCAATCAACAACTGGAAACTGGCCTGCGCCTCTTGTGCCACCGGGCCCCGACCCTATGGGCTGATAACGTGGCCTGGGTGGAATATTCCCACAACTCTCTGCCTTCAGCCACTACTAGTATGTCCCCTTTTGAGTGTGTGTATGGATACTCCCCCCCCTTATTTCCCAGTTTGGACCAAGAGGTCCGGGTGCCGTCTCCATCCGCCTTGGTCCGTCGCTGTCACCGAGCCTGGAGAAGAGCCCGCCTAGTCTTGCTCCGTTCAGTCCAGGCATACAAGAAATGGGCCAACTTACACCGGTCCCGAGCACCTGTCTACCAGCCCGGCCAGAAGGTCTGGTTGTCAGTTCATGACTTACCCCTTAGAACCGAATGTTGCAAGTTAGCTCCTAGGTTCATAGGGCCATTCCCCATCTCCAAGGTAATTAACCCTGCAGCGGTCCGCCCCCGTCTGCCCCCCTCTCTTCGAGTACACCCCAGGTTTCACGTATCCCCGGTCAAGCCTGTTCGGTCCAGTCCCTTGGCTCCTCCTCCGGTGCCTCCGCCTCCTGCTCGCTTCGTTGCTGGGGGTCCGGCCTACACGGTCCGGCGTCTCTTGCGGTCCCGGAAACGTGGTCGGGGAATCCAATACCTGGTGGACTGGGAGGGGTACGGTCCGGAGGAACGGTCCTGGGTACCCTCCCACCATATCTTGGACCCGTACCTCATTCGGTCGGCACCCGCCGGGCGGTTGTCGTGGGCCCGCCATGTGAAGGGGGGTTTTTCTGTTGTGCCTGTGCCCTCCTTCCTGGCCCCCTCCTCCCTCCCTCCCTGCTTGGTTTGGTTTTGGTTTGGGTTTGGATGTCTGGGAGCCATCCTTGTGGGGGGGGGGTACTGTCACGATTCGGTTCCGTTGCTTCCTGTCAGGCTTTTAGTTTTACTTTACTTCCTGTTTTTGTTTTTCACCTTTGTTTCGGTCACTTTACGTTCACTAATCACTTACATTAGTTTCACCTGCTCCCACTAGTTCGCACCGTAATATAAGCAGCCTTCACCGTCCTATCCCTGCCAGATTGTTCTAGACTCTAGCTCTGACTCTCCAGCATCCATACCTTGCCTGACTCTGTTTCTGACCTTGGATTGTTTGTTTTGACCACCGTTTATTGCCTATGTCCTTCCTGATTGCCTGCAGTGTACCGACCTTCTGAGCTTCCCCTGGACCTCTTGAGTTTTGAATCCCCTGGCTACACCTGTTTACTGGCGCTGACCCTGGACTGTCTATTCGGCCTGATTGTTATACCTGGACTGTGTATTGGTTGCCTAGTTATCACAAGTAAAAACCTTTTTGTTCAATCAGTTTGTCTGGTTTTATAATTGAGTCCACCACTAACACCGTTTGACGTCCTTATACGCCAAATCTGACAGTTTCCTTACTGTGCATATGACAATAAACACTGATTTAATTTTATATGCTCTCATATTTTTATCATTTGGGATCAAAGTAAAAAATGGGGCGTAGTGATCTGCACAGGGGGATGGCGTTCTCAGATGTTTTTTTTTGTTTTGTTTTGTTTTTTGTATATCAAGTAATTCTTCACTGCTGATTTTAATTTCTTTTTGGTGGATGGAGTTTGGTGATAGGCTACCTGCCTCCTTCTCTCCGCCATTTGTCCGCTACATGCGCACGGTGCCTGTTGCTGATTCAGGCAGGCAGTTGATGGTGAAAGGTGTGCACAGTGTTTTTATTTCAATACCGGTAATAATCAAATGTGCATGGTATTATAACCATCAATTTTCATCCCATAGTATACCATGAAACCAGTATACTGCTGCAACCCTCTAACACTGATGATGATTTCATTAGAAAAGCTCAGGAGATTGGTAACAAAACACTTGTTAGTTGCAGCCCTGCAACCATATAAAGTATCAGTAGTTACTGTTTATGAAAGCCAGTGAAAAAAAGGCAAAATATTAAACTGTTCTCTTTTTCTCCCTTCTTTGCCCCACACCATCTCTCTGAAGGAATGCTGGAATGTGTCCCTCATGCAGTGACAGGACAGAGACCCAGCCTCGGACAGCAGGGCACCCAGTCCAAGATCAGCAGGACGACGTGTGCCAGCAGCAGCAGAGGAGTGGAGGTCAGTGACTCCTCTCCTCTCCTTAGGTGTGAACTCAGTACCTCTGTTGAGAGCAGAGACTTGCTGCAGGAAACAAACCCACACCAGTATATTGATGATGGCAGCAGTGACTCAGAGTTTGATGTGTTATGTGACAATGATAAAAGAACCAACTCATTGGTTGAGGAGTTTTTTGATGAGCCCTCAGGGACTGAAGCTGAAGGAAGAAGGCCATCTTCTTCATACTCGATGGCAGCAGTTGATTTTCCATCAGCCTCTTCCAGTGTTAATGACTGGACTCATTACAGCTCCTCTTTCCAACTGTCCCAGCCCCTCAATGATGGCACCAAAGTGCACCATCGAGGTGGCTCCAAGGAGAGACTGTTTGTCTGCAGCTACTGTGGAAAAGCTTTTAACCGGCCAAAGAAGGTGGAGATCCATCAGCGTGTTCACACCGGGGAGAAGCCTTTCAGCTGCTCTACATGTGGGAAGATGTTCTCTGAGGCAGGAAACCTGAGGAAACACCAGAGAGTCCACACTGGGGAGAAACCGTACAGCTGTGGGATGTGTGGCAGAGGATTTGCTTGGATAAGAAACCTGAAAACACACAAGCAAAAGAGCCACCCTGAAATTTATACTGAAGTGTAGACCTGGGATGAGACCTGAACTGTCTTCTGACCAAAAATTTATAGTGGGACTCATCAAAGACTTGTTTGTAGGCGTAAAAGACTTTTTGCTTAACACAGTGAACATAATTTGTGCACAGTTATCTTCTTAAAAACTAAACATTTACATAATATTTAACAAAATGTTTTAAATGTGACATTTTTTAAAATACAGAAATAAAATTACAATTAATTAGAAATGCATTTCAGTCTAGTGTCCGTGCAGATTCTCAGTCATCCAGGTAAGCTGAAAAAAATCAACTGGACTAGGTTTTTAGGTCGAATACGTTTCACCTCTCATCCAAGAGGCTTCATCAGTTCTGCCCGATGGATGAATGGTTAATCGGATTTTGAAGCTCCAGAGAAGGTGATTTAATTTGGGACAGCAGGACGGTGTGTATGGAATGGGTTAAAATGTAGAAGGTCACCAGACTCTATGATAAGATGATCTTAACACACAGACTTACAGTGGGATTCAGAGATCACACTAGACTTTATTGTTGTCTGTCACTTTGACACATTTAATTTTCATTTTCAGTTTTCATCACCTCATTTTTCAATGCCATAAAAATTACTGTGCTTTTTAGTAGTCTAACTTTAAGTTGGGGTAGATCGCCCTAGTGTACTAATTTGTCAAAATGACGAATGGCCTTCAGAAAAAATTCTGACAGAAAATAATTGGCTAACACCTTATTTCCTCTGGTGGGATAAGATATTCTTAAGGTGATTTTGGGAAATGGGTCTCTGTTTACTTGTTGACCAAAATAAACTGTGCTGCTGTCAAAAATACTCTGCAGTCAGTTTATGTCACCAAAAATCTCTGGCCTGGAAACTGAGAGCATTAGAATTACAGCATACTACACAGTCTCTACCACTGGAGCCCCACAGCACACCCTGTTCTTTTTTTCTTTTTTTTTTTTTTAACATTTTTATGGGTTTACAGCTTAATTTTCAAATAAGCCAAGGCAGTGCTGTTAAGATGAAGGCACAGGTAAAGGCCTAGTCATGCTTTCCATGTCTGTTACAGTTCAGTGACATAAATTTTGTCATCTTCCCAGCTCCACGAGGGTCTGGACGTACTCAGAGAAGACATCTGCAAAAATTTGCATCTGTGTTGACTGTACACAGATCAAAAGCCTCAACTGCTTATGTACCACAACACTTTGCCAACGTTGTTGTAGGCAGACAGAAGTAGACCCCTAGATTTGAAGTGTGATTAGGAATCTGTGCATGTCCTCACCTGTGTCCACGTGCTCAGGAGGGTAGTATATGAAAAGCATAATTTGACCTTAAAGCTACCATATTGATGTGTAATCTCAGCCAAATCACAACAGATCTTTTTGGTCCCATAAAGATAAGACGGTATAGTCATAATTAAACTGAAAGAGAGCAAATATCACTCAACAGTAGGTACAGTAAGTAAGCATTAACTGATTGGTCCGAACATGGAGGAACAACTGGTTTCACTTGCATTGTCTGTAGGAGATTTTAAAATGTGACTTGTCCAGTGATCAGTGTTACTATGTTGTTCTGTGGTTGAAATAAATAAGAGGACAGCCTGGTGGAAAGCAAACAAAATCACTAAATCACCACTTGCACCATGTAGATACACTCCAATTTGGCACAACCCTGATTTTCAACTGCATAATAACCCTATCCATTTCCCAACATGGCAACACAAAGGAATCACTCACATCACCTATTTGAAAATAACTAGTTCATATCATTTAATACATTGATCCAGAAGTACGGAGTTCAGAGAGAACAGTTCCTCCAGTACAATCAACTAAAATCCATAATTAGTTCAAAGATTAGTGTAACCAATAACCCACTACAACCCTCCACATTAATTGAAGAAATTGTGAAAATTGCATCCTCCAAGAAAATAATATCCAAGCTATATAAATATAGACTCAACAATCACAATACCAAAACTCAAATGGGAAAAAGATTTAACTCTCCCTCAGCTCCGACTTCTGGACAGAAATTTGCAATAACATCTTTTCTATGACCAGCAATGTAAACTAGCAACTTATACAATACAAGACCATCCACAGGACCCATATTACACAAAGCAAAATGTTCAAAATAGGTTTCACTGACACAGACATCTGTTCACAATGCACTCTAGATTGCACCAACAATTATTTTCATGCTACTTGGACCTGCCAACCAGTTCATTCCCACTGGATAGCAGTGACAGAGAAACTCTCCACCATCTTGGGCTGTAGAATCCCTCCTTCTCCATCACTTTGCTTACTCGGTAATATCATAGAAATCGACCACCTACCAAGTAAATACAAAAACCTACTCCTCATTTCTCTAGCTATTGCCAGGAAAACAATCTTTCAAAACTGGAAATCAAAAAAATCACTACACATAAACCACTGGACCAACCTTCTTATAGAATACATCACATTAAAGAAAATGGCATCCACTCACAAGAATAGTTTATTTGCTTTTTATGACACATGGAACCCATTTTTAACACATTTCAATTTGAATCAAATACTTGGGGCCGAGGCCATGCACATTCCCACCAACCTCTAGAAGTGTAACATGCTGATTTTTTAATAGTACTGTTATCATCATTATTAATGGTTTTTTTTTTACTTCCCTCCTTTTCCCTTTCTTGCATTTCATAGACTGCATAAGTTGGAAATACCCACACTTCACACACTACAACCTCGTTAAACACACTATATCCTTTTGTAATGTCATGTAACTGTTGTCTTGTCTCCCATGTAAAAAAAAAGGAATAAATAAAAAGTGCTTGTTTTGGAATTCAGACTTCTAAGTAACTAGGTCTGAAAATGACATCCACGTGCTCCATGCAAGTGTTTCAGAGCACTGTTAAGAAGTGGGCCGTCTTTCTAAATGGGACACATTTCATGTGCTTCATAATTGAAATATTACTCATTGTGCAGGGTTTCATTTATGGAATAAAATATGCTACTTAAACCATCATTGTCCTATTTTAAAGAAACTGAATGTGAAATAAGTATAGTTCTCTTGACTTGAATCTCAAGGGAGTGAATTCAGATCTGAAGAAATATTGATGCAAGTCAGGAGAGCGGAGTAGAGACTGAATTATTTTCTGACAAAAAAACATCCCAAGGCCTTAAATCTTATCAAGGAGCACTGGTTTCAGCATGACCCTAGTCTCGCAGGGGTCATTCTATAGCAGTGGTCCCCAACCCCCGGGCCGCGGACCGGTACCGGTCCGTGGATCAATTGGTACCGGGCCGTACAAGAAATTATTAATTATTTCCGTTTTATTTATTATCTGAGTCTGAACGATCTTTTATTTTGAAAAATGACCGCATTCTCTCGGTTACATCTCGGTCACTTGAGCGCCAAAACTGGCTTACTTGTGCGACATATTCAGCCTGCTCAATGAACTCAATCTGTCACTTCAGGGGAAAATGACAACTGTCTTC